TTTGATTTGTCGTCAAAAAAGTAATTAATTTTCAAGTTGAAAAAATGAGACGAAGCTGTCCGGAAGAAAAACTAATACACGTTTATGATTGCGTTCATATCAAAAAAGGAATTAAAAGTCCAAACTGCATACTTTTAAAAATGTCACCAAAAGGAAGTGTAGTAGGAGCAGCGAAACGTGGAATCCAAATTGTTGGGAAAAAGTGTCCTACACTGCTAACTGTTTTGGTGTGCATTAAAATGTATTATAAGTTAAATACCATACAAAATTAAACTATGTTAGCATGAAATTAACTTTAATACACAATAACATATTTCAACTCAAAGTTAGTTCATTTTTACACCTCTTTAAATATACGGCAGCACGATGTTACCGTTAAAAGTAAATCTTTCATGGTTTAATATTAAATGGATTTCTATGACAGTGTAAACTAAAGTTAACTGAGAATAATTGAAGCGATTTGAAAATACCTCTTATGTCTGTAGAAATTGGTGCATTTAATAAATGTAGGTACACACTATTTTGTTTTCGAGATATCACTGCAATTGTACCTGCAATGCGAAAACCACATTTCTAGTGAGGAAAAAGTAAACTGCTCACGCAACATTAAATACTACACGTTTTAAGAAACTTTTGAAGACGTTGAATCAAATTCGGTAAATTTAATTCATTTTTATCTTTCCTAAACAATAATATAATGCAAGCGACCTACTAGATTATAATTCAATATGAAGTTGATTTTGAAAAAGCAGGAGACTGACGTAAGAAATATAAGCATAATGTTAAAAAGAGAAAATGCATGCACGTTAGCAAATAAAAGAAAAAGTAAAAACCACGTTGAAAAGATGTTGGACATTTAGTTGATAACTTTGCAGAACAATTGGAATGAATGATTTGTTATGAGTGATATGAGATAAACAGGAAATTAACTAGTTTTTATGTAATGTATATTCATGTATATTTTTATAATTATGTACTTAATATATATTTTGTGTTTATGTATATTACAGAATATATTTTTTTGTGTTTACGTTATATATATATATATATATATATATATTTTCTAAATCAATTATTGATAAAAGGGAANTATATATATATATACATTCAATATTTTTGTATATATTATATGTATATATTTTTTGTAAGTATATGTTAAATTTAATAAAAAATGAATTCATTAGAAAAGCTAATAAAATAAATGAAAATGTTTGTTATGAGTGATACAAGATAAGCGAGTAGACAGCTAGCTTTTTATGTATTCATGTATATTTTTATAAACATGTACTTAGTATACTTTTTTATTTATGTATATTACATAATATAACTTTTGTATTTAGATTATTTATATTTAATACTTTGTAGACATTATAAGTGAATAAAATTGATTTATCAAAAAAATTATAAAAACAGAAAAAAAACGTTTTTTTTTTTTTGAAGCGATACTTTTTTATCACTCAAGACACGTAAATAATTGTACATTCTACTTCATTTAATAACGTGTATTTTTCTTTTAATTCTTTCCAAACTTCTTTTAATTACATGTACGTTGGCGAACAATGAGCAATGAATCTCAGGTATTCCTTGGCCAAGACATGTACTATTTACAAAATAATTTTTCTAGCTTTATTCTAATACGTTATGCTATAACTTTATTGGGAACAAAAACAAGCGCATAAATTTAAAGAATCTATATTCGTCCCCAAGAGGAAAATCCTGTCCAGGCGACAAAGAAAGGTAATACAATAAATTTGAAATAGAAATTTAAAAAAAAATATCTATAAAAATTTGAAATAGAAATTTTAAAAAAAATATCTATAAAAAAAAGGGGGGACATTACAATCATAAATTATTTTGCTCATTATAAGACATCATATATTGTTGAACACTGTAATAATAGAAAAAAGATACATGAAACTATATAAAAAAATAACAAAGGTAAGATAAGAAATTCATTTGGATTGGCACAAGACTGTTATAAAAATTCAAATGATTCCTTTACATAACATAGTTAATTTTCCTTTCCTTTTACATAGTTAAAAACGAATTTAAAATGAACTAACTGTAGCTTTGTGTTTTAAGTAAACTTATAAAAAAAATTAGCATCCGTATGTATGAAATAGTAAAACTTTATTTGAAAGAATAAATCTTTCAGCCACTCAGATTCTCACAAAACAAAACATTTAATAACACAATTGATTATAGTTCATCCCAACTCCCAATATCACTTTATTACATACAAGAGCTAAAGTTTGTAACCATTTAATTTGTAAGTTGTCTTCTATATGAGACAACTGCGTAGTACCAAGGGAGAGAACCTTACCATTCAGAGTGATATCTGAAAGACTGGACACACGACACTGGCCTCAGCTCCTTTCCACTTGACTGATTCGAAATCCCACGCGTCAACAAGAACATGCAGTCTTTCTTTTGGTTTCCCAAAGGGAAGTTGGAATTAAGTGACTACAGTTTCCACTTCTGTAGGCTTTAATACTGCTTTGTCGACGACATCCTAGACTCCAAAGGGTCTGAAACTTTTGGGAATAAGGGACATCTTTCATATTCTTTGTCCCTGCTTTTTTTTTATTAAGTCCCTTTTTTATATCTTTTATGCTGAGGGCGAATCGTAATTATCTCGCTTGCCTAGTTGTTCGAGGAATGCGATCCTTTTTTCGCTTTTCTCCTAGAATGAAAATGAAGTATACTGGTTTTGTTTTCAAGGGGTTTTTTTGTAAAGGCTAAAGTATATACCTATTTACTTCTATGAGCGAGATTGATCTAAATAATGTTACAGTAAAATCACTTTTGCTTCCTTCTGAAGTAAAATTTTGTGCCTTATTATATTTAACAGTTTATTAAATAATGCTATTTTATCAACGATTTTATAAATGCCATAACTCAGAAATCATTTTTCTGCTTTAAAATTGGACGAATTCTCTTACGCAAATTATCAGTATTATAAAACCTCTCTTATGCTAAGCCTTACAAGAAAGGAACACGTTTTTGTTTCTTTAATTAGTTCTATTTCTTAAATTAATACTTACTTTTTCCTTCATAAATAATTAATTTTAAGACAGAAAAAGGGCACAGCCCTAGCGTTTTAAACTCTTTTCAACGGTAGCAAGTCTTATTAAACATTATTTTATTTTATAACTTTCAATGAACAGCAGAAACAAGTGCGTGGATTTGCAACTACTAAGGCTCATCTCCTTTGCCTTGTAATTTTGAACCCAATCCAGAAGACAGGAGAGACCTGGATTATGTATTGGGAGAAATTTGCCTTCGCGGAGGACTTTTTGAAGGAACTAACCCCAAAGAGGAAAAACACCAAAGCCTCTCACGGTTAACCTGCTGGCAGGGGGATTCTAACCCATGATTCGTTAACCACTGAGAATATTTTATAACAAAACACTATTGACGGTGCGAGTCGGGTGCGGAATTCGAATCAAAAAGCCATCGCTGAGATTCGAACCCGGTTCACCTCATTGGAAAACGAATGCTCAATCCCCTGAGCCATCACGGATAGTTATTTAACATTAGATGGTGAGACTGTGACTTGATGCTTTTCTTTTAAATGAAAAGAGCCCCGATTTTTATATTTTACGTAGGACTAGCGTTAAAAACGCTATCTTTTTTTTATGTATTATATAATGTAAGTATATTTTTCAAAAAGTGAGCCTGTCAAATGAAGTTCTAGAAAAAATTTGTAATCTTTACATGCTTTTTAGATGCAATTTTAACAGTATCTTTCTCACTACTTGCTATTGTTTGCAAATTTGCTTTATTGTTTACATCCACATATGTTTCATATTTCTTATGTTTTTGAACTCTTGATCAGATGTGGATAGATCCTCCAATATTTTTCGCTCATATTTATCGAAAAATGCCTTTTGAAAATGTGCTGCTATGACGACAGAACAATATTCCTCTGTATTATTCTCCTATAGAATTACATTAAAGTTCGTTGTAATAAGGCAAGTAAAACAGTTTATCACTTATACATTCAGCTATGATGGCAAAAAAGTTTTGATTATTCAAATTTATAGTTATATTTAACTGTGAAAAATTTTTGTGTCGGCATTGTAGCACAGATAAAACTATGATTTGGTTTTTTATTACGAAAATTAAATTTTTAGTATTTATTTATTTCAATATTTATGTATTTCAATATTAAAGAGGCTTTATAATTTAACAGAATTTTTTTTTATATTCAATACTAGAAACCAGCTATTTTTTAACTACTGTGTAAAATATTTCGGATCAAATTACGGCATTAAGCACCAGCAATCAGGGTGTCGGTTCTCTTTTACCGTAAAATCCATTTCTACCGGAAAAATTTTATATACCATAATTTTTACCTTAATATTTACTATAAAATCACTGAATCACTCGAATTAAATAACCAGTACTGTAAATTTACTGTAAAATATTTACGGTAAACCTGGATTTTACGAATGAAGTACTCTATAACGGAATTTCTTACAGTATAGTTAGATAACAAAAAGCATTTACGAACATATACGTTACACTATTTATTAAACATGATTAATGATGTTTCTTACGCAATAGTTTTCAAAATGTTTTTATATTTTTTTAAATATTGGTCACATATACAATGTAGAAAAACATAACAAAAATATTAAAATAACATGTCATCAAAGAAAAAATCGTTGAAAAGTACAAATGAGAAATTCCATTAACCTGAACTGTTCAAATAATGTCTTGCATTTATCCTCTTACCTAATTTAGTTATTGAAATTTACAGATAATTAAATAAATTCCACGAAATGCAATTTTACATATATAGAAGCAAATAGAATTTGGTAGTGATGAAGACTTTACTGAGTTGATGGGAGAAATTTCATATAAAATAATCTTTTCAGTCAACAACCTCATTTCGCATTATAATTAGAGGGTATCAGCTTTATCGGTGAAAGTTGAAGTCACTATAAGTCAAGCTTATCTCCCTTGTTACGCAAGACAGAGAGTTGATTGTTGTAATTATCAGCCTGTTTCACTGATTGCAGGGCGTTTTCCATCATCAGCGTTGCCGAGTAGACAAGTGAAATACCACAACTATGAAATGTTAGGAATTAATGGTAAGTGTGATTACATAAATGAGGTTTAGGTCTTATAATTCTTTCAAGTTACAGAAAAAGAAGTTTATTTATGATTTTAATCATACATGAGGCTTCAGTGCATTTTGTTCAAAACAATAACCTGCTTTTAAAAATAAGGAAAAAAAACATCGATTTCTAAAACTTATTTATGTAAATTTTAATATAAATGCAGTATTTATTAACTTCAAACAGAATTGTTATCAACCAACAATTAGGTAGCTAAAGTATAAAACCTACAAACTCTACACATTTTAAAGTATCTAAACATGTCATCGTATCAAGGTTTGTTTTTGCTTAGCTTTAATAGTCGCTTTCTTAATCCTCATAAAAGTGGTATTTAATAAGAGATAAAATAATTGTTATTAGCGCTGTAGTGTGGTTTGGTATTTTTCTTTTTGATCAAAAAAAGAATCGATTTTATAGTTTGTTTTGATACAGATTTATTGAAACATTTATGCATTTATGCTTATTAAATATGGTAAGGGAATTTTTGAGATCTGAAACTTAAAATATTGTATGTTAATAAATATCATATCGATGGGAATGCTAGAAATACATGATTGTTTTTGTTATGTTGTGTGATGTGGAATGAAGATAGGAGTGCAGAGAACAAAATTACATACTTATCTAAACATAAAGAAAGACACAGTGAAACTATATTACATTCTGCCTAAATTTAGAATATCAAAAAAAAAATATAAAAGTAAAAAACAGTCTCACATTTCAAAATAGAAAACATCATCGATTCCAATCAAGTAGTGCTTGTGTGATATTGCAATTCTTGGTTTTCAACGTTAGCTAGCCTTAGAGATGTCCAAACCAAGGGCTGAACTATATGCTTAAGTAATAAATCTTTCAATTCTTGTAATGTTGAATTTCTTGTAATATCCTGTAATGTTGTGCGTGTAGAAAGGCAACTAGTTGCTTGCACTAATCCTTTTGAACGATACGTAATCCCAAACAAACTGTGTTACGAGGATTATACTGTATGGTAATGACATTTCTAGTGAAAAAACAACATAGTTCTGATTAATAAAACTAAAGCGTACGGTATTTAAACCATTCATTTGGTAAATGTTCCGTTCATATTATAACGACTTACTGGAAATTCCATTTTTTTCAAAATTATAGTTCTTACTACCATAAATCAGTAAAAAATACAAAACAGAAAAATGAATTTAAGCGAAAAAACGTTTTTTTTACTATGTTGTAAAATATCATGGTAAAACTTCCAATTTTTCCAATATTCGCTAAATTTTATCACATATCGTGAAACCAAACTTCCTTGTTAGTTTCACCAAAATAATTACCAACGAGCTTCTGTAAAAAGTACCGAGCATTTCGGTATTCCCATAGATCCATAAACATGGCAAATTTGATCATATTCTGGTAGTCTCGACCGTACTTTTTGTTGTCATTATAGAACTAAAATAAAGAAAAATAACAAAATGATTACAAAGAACTTTGTTAATTTATTCAAAAATAATTTTTTTAAAAAATATTAACTCTTTAATCTATAACTAGTAGTTAAGCGTTTTTCCGAAGAGTGGCTCTGAAACCGTTTGGGCTGAATTGCCGCTATTTGTCCATGCAATAACTGTGATCACAATTCAAGAAAGAGTCCTCGTAAACAAACAGCATTTTGTAAAAAGTGTAAAGATAAACACCACGAGTTTATATTTAAAGATTTTATTTTAATACTTTAGAATGTGAAGCTGCACATTACTTTTTACACAACTTAGAAAAAATACAAACTTTTATTTTGTAAAGAACAGTCCCACATTTCCAAAATATACGCTTAATATGCGAATTAATGAGTGCTTATGCGATCCTAAAATTTGTGATCCTTGACATTTTATATACGTACAATTGGATATACTATAACCTACGTCACAGGTCGTGTTATTCCTACTAAATTTAACTAGTAAACAGCATTTTCTGCGAACCTGATTTCTAGCAACAAATAAACATTAAGCGAAGCATGTTGTTACAAGTCGCTACTCACCAAGTTGCAATTGTATTAGTCTAATTCCTTTTAAAATAATTTATTTTGCTGTTTTATCTAAGTTTATGAATTTAGTAAACATATTTAAAACTCAGTTTATTAATTAAACTAAAAGGTTAATGTTATTCCTAGTAAAATTTTCGAAGTGGAAGTAGTTGTGTGTTTTTCATATTATACCCAATTAATCAATGTTGACAAAAAAGGTTTTAGTTACTGAAATGATTTAGTTTGCATTATGAAATTCATTGGTAATATGGAAGCAGCATGGAAAAAGTCATATAACACGATATCTTTAGAAACAAGTATCTAAAGCTAAAAGTACTTCCTATATATCAGACTATTTTAAAATTTTCAAAGTAGTATAGTCCCACTTAA